TGATTCAGTGTCTTCCGCGTGACTGAGGAGCTTGGTAGGGTGTGGGCAGACCTGCCTGTCTGCAGCGGGCTGATTCGGCATCAATGTGGGCATTCTTATTGTGTCCTCTACCCACTGGTCCCTGGATTAGCATCATTTTTGATCTCTCTATTGTTCCTACCTTTTGAAACAGCTCAATGCATCCTTATAAGCAGCACAAAAGTCTATCACAAAGAAATATAAAAACCCACACATGCTTGTGGCAGTCTCTCCAAAGTGTCCTTGCTGTCCTTATTTCTTTATGTTCAGATTGTTTTCAAATCCAGAACTCACCTCTCCCCTCTATGAACTAGTCTAAGTTAGCCCAATTAGTTTTATTCTTCCTTTCAGATGATCTCAGATTATCTGTCAAATTTAGCTGGTCTTTTGGACTTTTTCCACTCATACCTTCATTCTTATTACAGATCAGCTGATGGGTTATCACAGTACCATCTGCCCACTGGTCCCCTTTATTTGGCATGTTGGGGATTCAACTATCCTGAATGCATCAGTTGTCCTATATAGAAATAATTGTAGGAAAAATCAGTGTTAGGCTCCCGGTCCTTCTAGAGATGCAGTGCTTTTTCAGAAATTGAAGAATCAATGATGTGTGGATATGAACCTAGTGTTTGTATTTTCTATGAATAATTCTAAGAGGCAGGAGTATACATGAAATTCAGTCTGATTAATAATAAATATTAGTTTTGCCTCCACTGCCCTTCAAGTAGGTGACTATTGATTATTATGTGAATGTCACATACTGTTGAAAGTATAAGCAAATTCAGTACAAAAATTTTGACCTTTTTTCAAAACAAGACAAAGCCCAATACAGGTAGCAACAGATGCCACTACCAAAATCTCCTGCTACCACTACTACTCTATGAAGAGGGAAGAAGGGATGGTGACTGGGTGACTCTTTTCCCCTTTGATAATATGAGGCTCCTTTAAGTGGGTTTTGGCTCTAACGATCCTCATGTCAGTCTCCTGTATCAGGAAGCTCAAATGTTGATATTCTTTCACCTAAAAATGTTTTTCAAAAGAAAGGTAAAGATAATAGTGCTCGATTATTTTTTGAGTGTGTGTGTGGTGACTAAGATGTTTAGAAGAAACTGTTCAGTTCCTCCAACTCAGGAAAATGAAGCCTAAAAGCATTAATGGGAGGAGTCTGACACTATTTCTTCTATTCTCTTTCCCTGGGCTGTGAACAGTGTGAGATATCCAGCACTGTTCAAGTTTAAGTGACTTTGTCTATACTGTGCACTTTTATCTTGTTATCTTTGGAAATTTTCCATTTTCTTAGCATTTCAGGCTATTACAACATTCTGCTGTTCAGTGCCTGTGAGTTTTACTACTTTATCTTTCTCCTCAAGCAAAATAAGCACTGCTTCCTACTTTGCTGAAGATCTCAAGATCTGGACTACTGCTGAAGAAATTTCCAAGTAGGTGAGTCTATCAGTACTTTTTGTAGAAAAGATCCAGTCACCTTGAAATCCACAAGATCAAGAGAAATGAATGTTGCTTCTTTTAGGTAGTGGGTGAGGGGAGTCAAACTGATATCAGCTGCATCCAGAACAGGGTGACCCGAAGTAGTTTGATTCTGATCCTTCTTAGGAAGATAATACACAGCTTTGTTCCTGAGCAACTGAGGCCTGAGCAAAGGAAAATGCTTTTGGGCTACTCCAGATTGTAAAATAATTTTTCTAAGTATGTGTTGTCATAAGCTGATATTTAGAAGAGGCCTTTAGTTGTCTTGGCTGAAGAGTGGTGGTTTTGGTGAAGATCTGGGTAAAAGACAAGAGAGTGACATGAGAAAAATATCATGAAACAGAGCTGGGGATTTAGTTCAGTGGTTCTGCCACCTGCCTCGCAAGTGGAAGGTCCTGAGTTCGAACACCAGTACCAAAAAAAAAAATCATGAAACAAAATTAAAAGGCACACATCTATTCCATTGTATGATATTTTTCCACTTTTACAAAATCCAACAACAAGCACACACACAGAATAGAAAATCCTCAGTTTTAAATGTATAACATCTAAATACTTTTATAAGAATATTTAATTTTAATTTAGCTGTACTCTACACCAATGTTAGAGGTGGCACTTAAGTCATTTGGACACTCAGAAAACTTATTTTACAATCTACTATAATATAAGTGAGATTCTAGCTTTAATTCCTTTGAAAATATGCATAGAAGTTGGATTAAGAGTCTATTTTTTTTTAGAAAATACCATATTATTTTCCATCATGATTGTACCAATTTAATTCCCACCTCAAAACATGAGGTTTCCCTTTTATCGTTTTACTTTCAGTCTATGGATTTCCTTTTGAGTTAGGTGTGTTCCTTGATTACAGCATATTGCTGGGTTTTGCTTCTTAATCCATTCTGCCAGGGTATTTCTATTGATTGGTGAATTGAGGCCATTAAAATTGATAGTTATAATTGACAGATATTGATTCATCCTTGTCCTGATGTTTTACTGTTGTTGGCTCTTTTCTTATTTTCCCCCCTTTTGCTTTAGTGTCTTACCTTTCATGGTGCCTTGTCTCTGCTGGGCCTCATGGAGTTGTGACCTTCATTGTCTTTTTCTAGGATATTGCTTAAAATTGTTTGGAGTGCTGGGTTGGTGTTCATGAAAT